TTGGATAGTTCCAAACGTTATTTAGTTTGTTTTCGGTTAATTAACGATCAAACATAGACAAGATTAATGGTTTTTATTTATTACATAAAATTATTTGAAAATCCGCTAACGCTGAATTTTCACCTCATTAACCGCAGTAATAATTGGGATGTGTACTTTCAGCTTTGTCCAATACAATTTCCAGCCAAGCGATTTCGCCCGACAAAACGATAGCGCGTCGCAGGATGCTTTCCAGGACGAGTTGTCTCAGAGTTCGTTTAGCAACAACGACACGCCGCCCGACCAGTCGGACACCAACAAGAGGCACAATTGCGAATTTATCGGCTGCAAGAGAACGTACAGTACGGTGGGAAACTTGCGAACGCACATGAAAACCCACAAAGGTAGAAAATTTAGTTTCACACGTTTTTTTTTTTTTTTTTTTTACCAGTGAAACATTGTTAAAAACCATTACATTTCCCTCCCCCCCCCCAGGAGAATATCGGTTCAAATGCAATATAACCGATTGCGGTAAACCGTTCCTGACGTCGTACAGTCTGAAGATTCACGAACGGGTGCACACCAAGCAAAAGCCATTCGTTTGCGCCAAAGACGAGTGCCAGAAGGCGTTCAACACCGTGTACAGGTAAAGACGACCGTGCGTTACCACGAATACGATATGTCAGTTGGACCTAACTCGAGATGTATGATGAACCGGCTACGGTAATTGTTTGTAGTACAGGCTACGGGCTCACCAACGTTTACACACCGGCGAGACGTTCGACTGCATGCACACAGGATGCGGAAAGTGTTTCACCACTTTTAGCGACCTCAAGAAACACTTCAGGACACACACGCAAGAACGTCCGTACAAGTAATTATTAACACGCACACGCACACGCACATTATCATACACGTGTGATAATACACTTTGTCGACCAACTCGATTCGGTGCTTCACTTCTGTACTGCTTTCTCGTACCGTTGAAAACATAAAACGGTTTAATGTTTAATTTTCAAGAAACTCTGTTCCTCCGTCTGTAGTAGTGTCGCGTGTGATTATGATACACAATATCTTGTTGTTGTTCTTGTAGATGTGTCGAACAAGGCTGCGGTCGAGCATTCACGGCTAGTCACCACCTGAAGACTCACAAACGGACGCATTCGGCCGACAAACTCTACACGTGCGACAGACGTGACTGCAACAAGTCGTTCCCTGGCAAGGCTAGCCTCAAGACGCATCAGCGACGTCATGAGATCTGGGACGAATCGGAGACGCTGTCGGATTACGCTGACGATATGCTCCAGCAATTGGACAGCGAAACGACCGACAGCGTGGGACAAGAGTTTTTGAAATTCGAAAGTAAGTATGGTTTTTTTTAAATAAATCATCTTAGATATTGTCGAATAAAAACAATTATTCGAATAAATCATCTTAGATATTGTCGAATAAAAACAATTATTCAAATAAATTATTTGTTACTCTTTATTCGAATAAAAAGTGGTCAACTCTGCCTATAGTCGTCTGGTTATGAAAATGCCGCCATATGGCGAATAGCTGTTATTTCCTTTCACGATTTATCAAATATTATATGACTGTGTTATCATCATGTTATCTTCACCTAACCTAACATTTTAATATTTATCATGCGCATTTCACATATTGAGTTCAGTGGTCAACATAACCCAACCTAAACGGGAAACGTCGGCGCTTTTCCATGATAGATCGACCCAATATTACTACAGCGGGGTAATGGACGGGGCAGAGAGAGGACTTAAGTAATTTAAATTATCAAGTTCCGTGATAATCTTTGCTAGAGCGAACCCTATCTTTCTTATGTGTTGTTAATTTTGATTTTCTCACTCTACTAGCCGTCCACGGGTTAACAGGTCAATGATGTAACTAACAAGGTACTTAAATCGTTTTCAGGTCAACTGGTCATACCGTTGTCGAAAGCCAACATTCTCGCGCTCAGGCAGCCCGAAGCGGCTGAGGTCGAGGTGGAGGCTTACTTGTCTGGAAGCGCCATCCGGGCCCTGATGGAAGGCTCGACGGAATCGACGGCCACGGTGCAGAAAATGATCTTGGCCGAACCGGGCGACGACATGTCGGCCAAGATGTCGGTGGACTGTCACATTGACGTGCAGAAAACGGGACAGGACGCCAACGGGACGATCAGCTTGTGCGTGATGGACAACGGCGAGGTGATGTCCAGCCTGCTCATGATGCCGGTCATCAGCAACGCCAGCTACGAGACGGCGCTCAACGAAGACGACAGCCAGCCACCGGCCATGTCCATAGCCACGGAGAGCATCCAGGAGTTGCAGTTCGCCGATCCCGTCGTCCGGCAGACTGTGCATCCCGCGGCCGCCGTCACTGCTACCGCCATGGAGATTTCCACGGACAACAACTCGTCCTCGCTGGACACCGCCGGCCTGATACCGTTCCGGAACATTTTGGTGTCCCAACCCGACACGGACTTTGCCGTGTGCACGCCCCGGGTGCGAACGTGCGACGACCCCATCGAAGAACAGCTGGAACAGATGGTCGAAGATTTCAACGCGGACAAACTCATACTGAGCATGGCCGACGATTGCGTGGTCGCCGGTTTCCCGGACAGTTCGGTCGCTTCGCTGGTGGTCAGCCCCCAGCTGGACGTGTTCGAGCCCACGTTTCCCGTGCCGGCGACACCCGCGTCCGCCGACGACACTGTTCCGGCGGAACCTTGCGCCGCCGACGACCACGCCGCGGCGTCCTCCTGTTCGATGACCGTAGCGAGCAACACGCGCAAGCAACTCAGGAAAGTGCTCGAGCACAGGCGTCCGGCCGGCATAACTCAACATTAAAAAAAACAACAATACAATATACAGGGTGTTTCAAAAAGAATGGTGGGCTTTCAAACGGCTGTAGGTTGTGAAGTATTGGACCTACAGCGCTCTGGTAGGGCTTGAATGAAACAGAGAGTTGTCAAGTTTCGAATTACTGTCATTAAATGTCTGTCCACGTTCGTGTCGCCAGCCTTTATTGTTCAGTTTGTTTGGATGGTGTTTGCACAACAGAAGTGATCGAGTTCACGAAGTGTAATTCAGTTACTTCTGTGAAACATCTAGTGGCAGAAACATCTAGTGACAGTCATTCAAAACTTGACAACTCCCTCTTTCATTCAAGCCCTACCAGACCGTTGTAGGTCCAATACTTCACAACGTGCAGCCGTTTGAAACCCCACCATTCTTTTTGAGACACCCTCTATATATTTTTTTTTACTTTTAAGGTCATAAATTACTTTTTTTTAATTTTATTACTTAAACACATATCACTAACTCAGAAACTAGGTCGAATTACTTGGTGTTTATTTACATTCTTATTTTGCCGGTTAAAGACTCGGTGACTGTCTCGATCATTTTTCATGTTTTCACACCGTCAGATTTTGTTTTTTTTTCACAAAACAAGTTTATCCGTTCGCCGATTTAATCCTATCCTTTTATATAATACTTTTTTTCTAATCTAAATTCTAATCGTGTCGGTCACTGTGGCAGCGTTGGCCAAAAATCCACAGTAAAACCCTACCACGAGACACAGCACATAATATAAATAAAAAAAAAAACCTACTATTCTAAGTTTTCGAAATTGGAACAAGCGCAAGTTAACGGGCCGCTGACACGGTTAGCTGGATGTCGTCCAAAACCACTATAGCTAAAAAAAAAAATAAAGAAATAAATCACACACACACACACACACTGTGATGTCTTATACGGTTGTCTGATCATGAATAATTTCCGCATAGATGTCGTTATCGATTGTCTCGAGGTTGAACTTAAGTTAGTCGCGAAAACATATAAAAAAAAAAAAAACGAGGTGATATTTTTATGGTGATAATTATTATTATTATTATTATTTACTTATATTCCATAGTATGTATATTTTATATATACCTAATGTTGTTGTGCAATGTTCTTTTGGCAGAAAAGCGGGTTTCGGTATTTTTAAAACCAAAATATATGTTTAACATTTACTCTGCCATAATAATATATATTATAGCGAATAACGTTTTTTTATTTTCGTTTATAATTATTATAATATTATATTATATTAACAGTTGTGAGAATATTTTATTATTATTTTTTTTTTTTTTGGAAATGACGTTATAGGCCGTGGACTTATTGTCTTATCGTTTCAGGCAACTAAAAAAAAAAAAAAAATAGAAAAGGTTTGTTACGATGGACATTTTTAACATGATCTTATATAAATATAATATATATATATAGTTTTGATAATCAAAAAGGGATCGAATTACAAAAGCAAATTTCCGACCACAAAATATCTGTCGACAAATTTTTTTTCACCCGCACTTGTTAAATATTTAAAAACAATTTTTGTAAAAGTCATACAATATAATTAATTTAACGAAAACTATCATATACATTTCTTCTTCTTGTAAGTATAATTTTTCATTTGGTTTTCCTCTATATTTTTGTTTTAAAATAAATCACTTCCATACCAATTCGGTTCTTATTGCAACATTACATTGTACATGAATGTGTATTGAATCAAAACTCTTATACATGGTAACGCTCATAACTATTATTGTTGTATAATAATATGTGTGTTCGATTTAAACCGTTAACTTTTAATGATACTAACACAATATGACCATTGTATAGCTAATGTTAAAGTCTGTCTAACCTTGTTTTAGTGCAACAATCATTTATTCAAATAAGTATTATACAATAAACGCAAGACCACGATACTCGATGTCTTGTTTATTACATACTTGAACCGTTGTGACTATTTTATATTGTGAACGAACCTAACCAAAAATATGTTGCATGATATCATATTTGATATTAATACAACGTTGTTTTAAAATATTATGATCGTACAAGAACGATATTATTGTTTTTGTGATTTACTAATGTAGCACACATATCAGGGCTAAATGATCACCCTGTATACTTTACACTGCTTAAGGCATGAAAAAAACCATGTTTTGATAATAAAATAAAATTTGTTTTTGTTTACTTTTCAATGCAATGTCGACGGACTTAACCTAAAATTTTGAAATAACTTATATAAATTATCTTAGGCGCAAACTTGCCTTCGTATTTGAGGTTTTATTTTCACGCCAACATAAGTTTAGGGTGTTTTGGTGTTTTATATATTATGCATACATTTTATGGCGATTAAACTGGAAAGATTTTAACACGCGTACTTAAGGTATACATACATAGTATACATGGTTACATACGGTATGTATGTATTCAGATGTTATACATTTTCAAAATATCGGGTCTTTAAATTCGCTAATCCAAAAGAAAAACTGTGTTAAAAAAATGTACAAAATTATACCAAAAATGCCACCCAATAATACAGTTTGGTGGAAAAGGGCAACAGATTTAAAGTAAAAAATAAAAGTTGTATATAACGGCCACGATTGATGAAATTGAGCGTTGTGAACCGAATAAGAGAAATAAAAAGAAAAAGGGAGGTCTTGTATACAGGGTGATTAACTTATCGTTGACCGCCCAATATCTCACTGGCCTTACTTAATAATTTTCCTAATACTCCTAGGTTAAATCCAATACTATTGGATACGATGGAATCAAAAAGTAAATATAGATGGAATGCAAGAATTGGTGTTCGTATTCAATTTAATTTAACTAAAATAAATTAGGTTAAATCTAAGTTCTGGATTGTAAGTCGTAAAATTATATTCTAACGGTATATTTTATGCTCTATTTTTCATCTTGGCTGTGCAAACCATTTTGTTGTTGTAGATATTTACCGACACCGCGGTAAAAACACTTGCTGTACTTACACTGAGTAGTTATGTGTGTAATGTTTGCTTCAGATTCAATAATTTTAGAATTTCATGCGTGTTTTTACAAAAAAAGTACCATACAAAATTTAAAAACGAATAAAATATTAAACACAAAATATATGCCCATCCACACAAAAACTGTAGTTGTTATATCATGGTTAATCTTTCATCTGAAATACTTATGAAAAAGGGCGTTAAAATAAACTGGAACATGTTGTCAGAACTAGCTTTTCTGCTTAACTTTTCCTTCCCTAGAAGTAAATAAAATGTATTATCTTACATCCCTGGGATTAACTATTAATGGCCATAAGACAATTTAGTCATGGTTCCATACCAAATGTCTGGAAATGAGGATTCTCACTTGGAAATTGAACATTGGAATAACGGCCCATTCCAATGTCAATAGATTTTAAATATATGCATTTTCTATGCTAAAGTCGGGCACAACTATTTAAGTGTCGATTTCAGTTATTTTACAGTGAAGCGATTTTAAACTTTGACCAGCTATGACAGCTCAACAATGCGGTGAATTAATACTTATATAAGATGAACTATGAGTCAAGAACAATAGGTTATCCTCGCTTGTCATTCTCAATGTAGAAAGGGATATATCTAGTAATGTAAACCCAAATGACAATCTTGTTGACTCTAAAGAAAACAGGCGTTCATAGTTGTCATTTTTTTGTACCTTTTAGCTTAATGGTTTTGTTTAAACATTTTAGTGTATTATAATATTATAAGGGCCCCCTTCTCCTTATAGGGAAATCTCCTCACAAAACCACCGCATACAAAATAAGTTGAAGGGCTACGGCCTGCTTAAATTCGCTACTTAAAAAAAAACTGTGTTTAAAAAATGTTGAAAAAACCATGTAGTAAAAACTGTACTAAAAATAAGACCCAACAATAATGTGTGGTGGGAACAGGTGGAAAGGGCAACAGATCTAAAGTAAAAAATAAAAGTTATACAAAACGACAATGATTGATGAAATTAAGCGTTGAGAAACGAATAAGAGAAATAAAGAGTAAAAGGGAAGTACTTAGAGAGGGCTTGCCACTTATCGTGTACCACTCAATATCTCACTGGGTTTAATTAATAATTGATTTTTTTTTTTACATAATTGATTTATACAATGTGTTCTCAATTTTTCAAATTTTTATGTTTCACCCAGGGGTGATTTTCTGATTGCAACTTTGGAACTTACATGGTAACGCATACATTTCATTAACATTATAAATTGAGAACAATGTACTAAAAATGTTGACTAGTCAAAAATCAGTTTTAGATAACCCTTTGAACTTTTGAAGTTATTAGAGTTTAAAAGTTAGGATGGGAGGGCATGTGCGGTTGGAAAATTCGCGCAGATCTTATTTTGGTATAGTTTTGACTACATGGATTTATTTCCACATTTTTTTATCACAATTTTTTTTTTTTAATTAGCAAATGAGGGAAGGAAACGATTTTATGTGATCAGAAATTATTAGCTCTATGGTATCATGACACAATAACCAGGTGAGTATTCTTAATTCCAGTCATTCGGCAATAATAAATTTAAAAAGTTGCCAAAATTGTCTTATTGTCATTAATAGTTAATCTCAAAAATGTAATATAATACATTTTATTGACATCTGGAAGAGGTTAAGATAAGCAAATTAGAAAGTTCTGACATGATGATCCAGTATATTTTTTCGCCTTTTTTCACAAGTTTTTCAGAATAATATCCTTTCAACGATGATTAACATTTTACACCTACATTTTTTGTACAAATAGGTATATTTTTGTGTCTAATATATCATTAGTTTTAAAATTTTGTATAATCAATTTTTTGTAAAAAACATACATGAAAACATACAAAATTTGAAACTGAAAAAAACATTACACACGCACTCGGTGCAAACACAGCAAATGTTTTTGCCGAGTTGGTGGTAAATATTTACTATGACAAAATGGTTTGCTTAGCCTAATTTTTTTTTCTTCGCAATGGAGAATTCATCATAAAATATATCGTTGGACTATAACCTTGAAACTCCAAAAACATCAAAAATAGTTATCCAAAACTAGTTATCGACCAGTCAACCTTTTTTAGTACATTATTCTCTTTGGTTGTTAGATTTTAATCGAAGGTTCTAACTCATAATCAGTACTTTGAAACTCATACTGTGAAAACAAGATTATTTTAACAAACAATTGGTTGTTAATGTAATCACAGATGTATGCGGCAAATCAAATACGCATACGGAATACATGTTTGCTAACAATTTTTATAAGCGTTATAGGCATTTATTTTGTTAAAGCTGAACTAATGGCAATCGTGTAAAACGTTTCTCGTTTAGTATACTTTATTGTTACACCGGTTTAAGACTTCTGTTCTTTCGCAAAGTGGTTTCTGAGGAAAATACAAAATTCTATAATCATGAAAATGTCGTTTAAGTTTATTTTTATAGCAACCGTTATAGTTAGCTACAGTTTAAAAATGGCGTCTACCACCATAAGCATTGTTGAAAAATATAAGGAAGAAGAAGACAATTTGGATCCATTAATTCGTGTTCAATGTAGCTACATGCATAGTGCTCAAATTTACATGGAGGTGATCGACGAATTGATAGAAAATAAAGATAAGTTGGAGACAGTTCCTCAAGGTAAAGATCTATCGTATACCAAACAAGCTGCTAAAATCAATGCGACCTTCCATAATGTCGTTGGGATGCAGAATACTGGTTTACAGAACGTAATGTGGATATTTTCAATGTATGCCGAGAGAGTATTGGCGTACATGGAATCTGTCATAAAGAAGGTCCCGGCCGAAGATCAAGAAAACATCTTTTCCGTTCACCAATCCGTAACTATTTTTCTCGATAAATACATGAACTCTGCCGTCTGCGCCGGTTATAAGAAGGGCAAAAAGGTAGATATGGATGTCTTGGAAAGTAGTACTGATTATTTGCAACATTTATTGACCACTCTCGAAGCTAGGACATCAGTTTTCATGCAACGAATAGACATAAACGCCAATGAACACGGTATCAGCACCGACGGGCACAAACAGTTTAGTTTGAAAAAGTTGAGCTTGAACGGACTGCTGGCGGATATGGAAGCGACTAAACAAATTTTAGAAATTTCCGGAGTAGAGCTAAATTGGGACCAAGTGTTGCAGCATTTAAAAGGAGATTATGATCTGGGAACGCAAGCCAACGGTAATACATTGAGTCAACAGATTTACACATTGAAACAATTTCATGACGAGTTTGCTAAGATGGTAAAAGTAATCATGATTCGTCTGACGTTGAAGTTCTTAATGCATGACGAATACGAGTGTAACTGGGGTGTG